TTTAAAAGTCTGTCAGGCATTGCTCATACATCCAACTCTACAAAGAAACCCAAAGTGTGTTAGCCCAGTAGCTGGCCAGCATTAGAGTGGGGTAATTTCACAGCCAAATTAAAGCAGTGTACACTCTCTAATTTATGGATTTCCTTGATGTCTGTTCTCTGAGATTATGTCCAGAGCACAATTTTCCACCCCCATGTCTCCCTTGAGGAAAGACAGCCATTTGGTGACCTTGGTCAAGCATTTAATCTCTCTGAATGTTGACTTCCTCCTCTATAAAGGAGGGAAGGAAGTAGCTTCCCTGCCTTCCTTGCAGCAGCATGGTTGAGAGGATCAAAGAACAGGAAAGTGCTGTGTAAGTAGGAGAGGGCTCTCTACATGAGAGGCAACTGGGCTCCTTGGATGAGAGGAAGGCATGGCCCCTGGGCACCAGAGAGGAGGGTCATGGGCAATCCAAGTGGAACTGAGGTCACACCTCCGTGCTCCTTAAATTAGTGTCCTCGCAGCAACCCTAGAGACAGTATTTGTGGCATGTTTATAGGCTCAGAGTGGCCACACCAGCAAGGGGAGGGCAGGCCTCAAGCCTGCACTGCCTCCCTCTAAGCATGGAGCCCTGCTGGTAAGCTCAGAAGAGAGGGCTGAACTCAGTCAGTGTTGTCCCCTGTGCCATGTTGGACCATAAGCGGGTCTTCTGGGTGACTCTGTGCTGCATGGGGTGACTGTCAGTCGCCATTCACAAGCAAGGCCACAGAGTACTGCTGGGGACCTGTGAGCCACCACCATCTGACACCAGCTATGGGTACTAAGCCAGAATATCATGAGTCATGCCTGGAGGCTGCTCCAACCTCAAAATTCCAGGGCCCTGGGGAGCACAGGTACCCATCTGTCAGTGTGCCCCAGGGCAGCCACAGGCCATAGTCAGTGGAAGGTGACACAAAGGTCTGCAGAGCTCTTGGGGGCAGCTAGGCAGTCTGTAAGTATTTGTCTCTAAATTCTAGAATGGCTGAGGAGGGCAGATCTGAAATGAACTCATTTTCCTACCTCAGAAAACTGTGATCCAGGGAAACTAGCAAGC